TGTATGCAGGTTTGGTCACTGCTAAAAAGTGAATAGCATGATATATCTTCTCCAAAGAAAGACCACCTCATTCATGGATAATAGAAACCTTTCTCCCATTCAGATTTCACGGGCAAACAAGGGGGAAGCATAAGACCAATGCTGATGCATTTCATGCCTTTACTGGCACTCTGCATCCGCAATTGCTCCCCCTCTTATGCACAACCATGATGTGAAATTTTCCACCTTTCTTTGTGGGAGACTGTTATCATGTTATATTCTTGTAGATAAGATATTAAAGTTTGTTTTGAATATCTTGAGATATCCAAGATAAAATATATTGAGAAACCCTCGTCACAATGGCATGTAAATGAAACCCTCGTCACAATGGCATGTAAATGAAACCCTCGTCACAATGGCATGTAAACGAAACCCTCGTCACAGTGTCCCCCTTTTCTGGCCATGAAAGGGTTAGAAATCCTTTTATTCAATTACCCGATACCTTCTCCGACGTAAGTGCGATCCATGAACCTAATGCTTTCCTGTGGGATTTTTAAAGATGCTGGGCGTCCTCATGCAAAGCGTAAGAACATCCAGCATCGTTTCATGGAGTTAAACTCTGTGAATGTGCTGGAAGCACCTCTAGTGACCACTCTGGTAGACAGCAGTTTAACTATATGTAAAAGTCCTGGTGTGAGCACTGAAATGTTGACGTTTGTGATTGGACACCATAAAAAAAATTCTGAAACTTATTATGAAACCCTCTGGAGTGCAGTTCTTAGTATATTAGTTTTGTTGAATTTGCAGAAACTTAATAGTAGTATGTATCAATTGGTGGTGTGCCAAAAACAACGTATGGGTAGGCCTGTAAATAAAGGCCCACCAAGGAAAAGAATGGAATAAGTGAATTAAATAACTGAGTCGGGTTGGATGACCTGAAACGGAACGGCCCAGGTAGGAGGGGGAAGATAGGGTTTTTATAGGTCAAACTCCTCCCACAAATACAGGCCTTTGGTTTTCCTGAGTGTTTTTTTTTTTTTTTTTTCTCAGGCTGGGTTTTGTCTGTTATAGCAGGGCTCGACATATCCCTGGGATTTGCCAGCTCTCTAGTGTGGCCGCCGAGGTAGCTTTGATGGCGGCAGTCACTGGAAATATTGGAGGCGGATGCCCTGAGGCAGCAATTCTGAATTAATGAATCTCTGAGGAATATTCAGCGCCTCCATGCAGAGCTTGGAGACACTGAATGTGGGTGCTGCACCCGATGCAGTAGTGACCCAGGACTCTCTAGTGGCCGTCTGAGTGACTGTCACGAGAGGTGTTACTAGGCAGCAATGTATACTGAAAAGGCAGTGTTTACACTGACAAGCCTGCAGGGACTGGTTATAGACCCAGAATAACTACATCAAGCTGTAGTGGTTCTATTGACTATAGTGTCCCTTAAAAATTGCATTTTCTTGTTGAATATGACTGGTTCGTAACTTTTTTTTAGCTGGCTCCTAGATTCCAAACAAATCTGTCAAGCCCTGTGTTTTAGACTGAGGATTTCCATCTCCCCAGTATCTTGATGATATGCACTGGAGTGTCAACAAACTGACACATGCAGAAGTGTGAATTCCCTTCTTCCAAGGCTGCAGGGGAGGACTAACTCTGTGACGGGCCCTGTCTGGTGTGCTACTAAAGAGAGTTCAGGCCCCTGAACTAAGTCATTCTGAGTCCCACAATGACTCAATGGGGCTGCACTGCCCTCTAACTTGCCCACATGCATAGTTTTCAATGTACACACTCTGTTACACTACCAACATACACACTGTTACACACTCACAATTTATGTGGCTGACTGCTCCTGGTGCAGTACGCTGGGTGGTTTGAGGAGCAGATGTCTCTCTGTTCCCTATCGATCTGCATTCCCCCAGCTACTTTTTTCAGACCAACACAGAGCAGTCCAACGTCCCTCTCTCCCTTTTACCTGTAGATACCTATTGCCAGCCACCAGTGTTCTGTTTCTGCCTCTTAGCTTGTTCTCCCTGCATTGCTGTCTGGGAACCTGGAAGTGAATGTTAATCACTTCCCCCCACCCCCCAGCACAGCTAGCACTCAGAGCTGCCTGCTAAATCTGGTGGCTCCATAGGCCATATGTTTGACAACCCTGAACTAAAGTGTAAATAAAAATTGTATTTTACCATCTTTTGACTGGGAATAATTAATACTTCAGTTAAGGAGGGATTGGCAATTATGTTGGGATACAGTTTCCCCTAAGTTCTGGAATTTTGCTGTTATTCACCACAGAGGACTTATTACATCTTGTGATTGTGGCAATCTGGGTCAGTGTTTATTTATTTTTTTATTTTTTTCATAACGCTTACGTTTGTGGCATATGAGGTTACTATCACGACTATCTTTGGTGAAACATGCAATAAATGCACCCTAACCATTTTACTTTTTCTCCTTACAGAGCTCAGAGGGGAACACACTGAAGCAATTCATGGACATCTTCTCTCTCCCAGAAATGACCCTGCTGTCCTGTGTCAATGAGTATTTTCTGAAAAACAACATTGATTATGAACCTGTTCACCTCTATAAAGATGTTAAGGTAATTAGACATAGTCTTCTTTTTTTTTGATTCTTTTTAACCCATCTGTCCTCCCTTGGCCTATGCAGACTAAACTAATGCATTGCAAAAAAAATGCAGATTGAAATTTAAATGCCTTAAAACACTTCACTTCCCCTTTGGTCCTACAGTGGTACTCTCCTGCTGAAACAGATTTATCTTCTAGGGACCCTTTATTTACACCATAGAAGGCATTTCTTGACTTCTACAAACTACTATTAAGGCATTTTAGGTCCGTTTTCATGCCTGCAGTGAACTGGCCATTTATGGAGGTGGAAGGGGGGCTCTGGGCAGACTGAATGCTGTACAAAGCTACAATAGCAGCCTTATATGATACAGAAACTTGATGTAACTATCTTGTATTTTGATAGGTTTCCTTTCTGGATATTTTAATATTTCAAATGTCCGGTAGATTGGGTTACCAAAGAGAGTCTGGGGTCAAATTCCATGCATTTCTAAATCTCAATAGAGCAACCCATAGCTGTGAGAAGCTTTGGAGTGGAGATGTGGCCTCCGAGCCTCTCTGTGAGATTCACTTGATTAAATAATGCCTAGTTCTAACAAGGAAGTAAGTGCTGTGCAAAAAGAGGGTGGATCTTCATTAACTGCAGAAGACAATTCTGAACTAATAAAAGGTAAGCACGTAAGGCTTAAAGGAGATAGAAACATTGTTGTGTGGTAAATTATGCAATTTTTATTTTATTTTTTTTCCAGTATGGGTTTTATTAAAAGCCTGTGTAGTAATAGTAAAGCATTTTGTTGAACGAGTTTGTTCTGGTAATTTTTTTTATTTTTTATTTTTTTATTTTTTTTACTAGGATGCAATCAGAGATGTCCATGTTAAAGGGCTGATGTACAGAGCAGTTGAAGCAGATATTGGTAAGGTATATAGTATGCTTTTTAATGCCACATGGGTTAGATTTGTCCTTTGCTTAGACACATTGAATCTCTAAATATTCAGGCACACCTGACATCTTGATAAAGGCTAAGACGTGAGCCGAAACGTGGTCTCCACTTTTTGGTTCCTAATAAGACTGCTATTTAGAAGAAACCTCAGGTGTACCTGGATATTTATCTCTTCTTCCATTTGATGTCTCCAGAGATTGTCCTTCAATTTCGGGAACAACCTGCAGGAAGTGTTCCCCCTTTTTAGTGTGTGCTTCATATTCTGTGTTCTTGCAAACCTCTGTCAGGGGTGGGCAACCTTCATAGAAACATAGAATGTGATGGCAGATTAGAACCATTTGGCCCATCTAGTCTGCCCAAAACACCAGATGTTGTGGATTGCGTCTCCCATAATGCTCTTACAGCTGTAAAACTGGCAAAGCATCAGGTGAGATGTAGTCCACAACATATGGAGTGTCAAAGGTTGCTCATCCCTGCGATATGGCAATATGTAATGTCCAACAAATTTAGCATTCACTGCTGTATAAGTCCTTGCTTTATCCTTTGACATCTATGCATGAAACCGTGAATATTGATTTGACATACATGTAGATTATGCTAGCTTTAGTGTACAATAATCTTGATTTTTAATGACAAGAGGCCAGTATTTTGCCACTCTCTTTACTGCAATATATGAGCCTCCCCTATATAACGGCTATGGTGCTTGTCCATGCCGATGTCCTCTCTTGCCTTAACTACTATAATCTGCTTCTCCGTGGTCTTATGTGTTCCCAACTTCCCCCGTTACAGTTTATAATCAGTCTTTAATGAATGCGACAGCAAAGCTCATCTTACTGTCTGTCCGCACCTCCCACACCTTCCCCTCTGTCCATTCCTACATTGGCTTCCCATAAAAGTTAGGGCTCAATTTAATATCCTGGTACTTGCTTACACGTCTCTACACAATGCTGCTCCGACCTACTTATCCTCCCTAATACAAAAATATGTCCCCTCTAGGCACTTACCTACTTTCCACAGCTTCATTGTTGAACATTGCCAAATGGAAATTACCAACTCAGCAGGGTCGTTGCACACATAGTAATAATTATGGATCGACCGATATTTTTTTTTTTTTTTTTAGAGCCGATACGATACCGATATTCTGTGAACTTTCAGGCCGATAGCCGATATAATTTGCCGATATTCTGTACATTTACCATTTTGGAAAATAAAAACTATTTCTAAAGATAAATGCACAAAATATACATGCCACGTGTAGTGGATGCAGTGTGACAGGGGAGCTGTGTGTGTTTGTGCAGTGTGTGTTTGTGTAGTGTGTGTGGAGGATGCAATGTGTGTTTGTGTAGTGGATGTAGTGTGTATTAGTGTAGTGTATGTATATAATGAAAGCAGAGTGTTTGTGTAGTGTGTGGGTAGTGTGCGTAAAGTGAATGCTGTATATACTAAATGCAAAGTGTGTGTGTATTTGTGTGGTGTGTTTATATAATGCAGAGTGTGTGTGTTTGTATAGTGTGTATATAATGCAGTGTGTTTGTGTAGTGTGCATTATATAAACACACTACACAAACACACTGCATTATATACACACTATGCAAACACACTGCATTATATACACACTACACACACTGCATTATATAATCACACTGCACAAACACACACTGCATTATATACAGTGTGTTTGTATAGTGTGTATAATGCAGTGTATTTGTGTGCATTGTATACAAACACACACACTATACAAACACACTGCATTATATACACAGTGTGTTTGTGTAGTGTATGTGTATATAATGGAGTGTGTGGGGGCATTTTTTATTTTATTATTATTTTTTTATATATATTTAATTAATTAATTTTTTTTGTTGTCTCCCCCCCCCCTCCCCCCCCCTGCTTGTTGCCTGGCCAGGGAGGGGGGATATGACAGTCCCTGCTGGTCCAGTGGCATTGGCCGAGGGGGGAGGGGGGCGGAGAGCAAGCGCTTACTCACCTCCCAGCAGCTCCTCCAGCTCCCCAGTGTAACTTGTAAGTAAGCGCTTGCTCTCTGCCCCCCCAGGACCGCCGGGCTTGTAATGAGGACACAGAAGGAATTTGGGACTAAAGTATGAATTTGTAAATGTTAGTCAATGATTTTAAATGATTAGGTAGTCTATAGTACAAATCCTATTATGATGTGATATAAAGAAAAGAGGAAATTATCTTGGCAATTTAAATTTACCACCGTGCACTAACCCAGTGTAAAAGTGGAGACTGTTTAGTGTAGTCAGTCTGTAGCCAAAGTTTTCTTCGCATGCATCTGCGGGATCCTTGTATTTGTTTCCATGTGTTCATTACTACAGTCTGTTGATACATACTTGATTTCATGTTGCACTGTCACTAGATGTTTTCATTATAGTTGTTCTGTCACCAGCTCATTGTATAGGCAGTAATATGTTGGGAATGTTTTTTTTAGCTGACAACAGATGCCACAGGACTTGCCTGCCGTCACCTTGCTAGTCCTGATACGTTATGCAAGTCATGTGTCAGGCGCTCTTTCAGTAGAGCATGTTGTGAAAGGTTTGTCACCTTTTTCACAATGAATAGCTAACTAAAATAGAGCCTAGCTGTGTTGTGTGTGTGTGGTTTATTTTTTTTTATTTATTTTTTTTACTGCAATTCTTAATTGTACTCAATATCAAAATGATGAAAAACCGGTTTTATTTTTTTGTTCTTGTTATTGCTGAGTCAAGGAAGCAGTGGCTGACTGACTCTTCCCTAGTCTCTAAGCAACTTTTCCTCCGTGTCTTACTGGGCCAGAGAGTGATGGATTGTGGGCTAATAGTTTTATAAATGTGATGTGTGTTCTTATGTATTTTAACATGGATAAAATAACTTTATTTTTTTTTTACCTGTTTTCTAAATGTATTTATTTTTCAGAAAGATACATCTGTTATGGAGAAAAAACACGGGCAGTGTTGGCAAAATTAGCAAATTCTGGAAAAAAGATGTTTCTCATTACAAACAGCCCCAGCAGCTTTGTGTAAGTAAACAGACTTTTGCCAATTGAAAATAGTTTGATACATAGAATATATAAATTCTACAATTCTCTTCGCACCGGGGGCCCTGTGATTTCTAGTTACACCTTTGTTACTTAGACATACCTTCTAATCCATATGAAAAATATAATCTATATTAAACAAAATATGTCCATTTGTGTATCCAAAAATACTACAAATGGACAAAAACTCGTCTCTTCTGCAACCTAGTACCCAGCTCCACGGGAAATACAAATTCTATAAATCTGTGTAATCTTCCTACTGAAACTCTTTTGGAGCAAAGAAACCGTTTCCTATTCCCATCAGTAATTGCACGTGATGTGTGGTAGATGTATGGAAGAGTGTTTTTATTTTTTACTTTTTTTTTTTTTTTCTTTTTTTTTTTTGGATCGTTCATGGATCTCCATTTTGTATTCTTGAACATGCAAACGTGAATGTCATTAAAACTTGGATTTCTTTTGCTGAAAACTACTAAAACTACTAAATAGCCATTTAATTGAATAGAGGCACAAGGAAACTAATAACCACTTCATTTACAGAAACAAAGGAATGAACTTCATTGTAGGAAAAGACTGGCGTGACCTTTTTGATGTGGTTATTGTTCAAGCTGACAAACCAAATTTCTTCAATGATAAGAGAAGGTAGGTTATGATGACTACGATGCTGGAGAGGGGTGGATGCTACGTTCTAGCTTTAAGAGGGAAATTATTATGTAACTTTGTTTGTTTGGTTTTTGTTTTTTTTAATTCTTGATATTCTTTGTGCAGTGGAAAGAACACCGCTTTGTAGTGAGGCAAATTGAGTTAGCATGTCAAGATGATCTGCACAACTTATTTATTTAGTTTATTTTTTAATTTTTTTTGAGTAAAAGGGGAAAAATAAACAATATCAGAGAATACATTGATGCAACAGGAATCGCAGGCTTAGTTTGGATATACATTCAAATTTGGATAAAATGAAAACATAGGCGCTAGGCTGATTAAGTGTTATAAGGCTAAAGAAAAACTAATAAAACAAGAATGTAAGTTAAAATTAACATATGACATGTGCCCACAGTGCATTGACATCATGTTAACCTCACAATGTAGTGTGGCTAATTAGGCTTAGGGCAAACTGGTCGGCAATTCACCAATAATGTGTAGCACACTCGGTGGGTGTAAAAATAAAATGCCTGGGTGGCGATAATTGGGGCGGGAGCTCCGTTACAGGCCGTCAAAAGTGTCTGTACTACAGGATTATGTACGTGCTGGATTAACACCTAACCTAATGGGCTAGCAGCCGGTGTGGGGTAGTGGAGGGGGGGGGTGTAACATGGATTTAGAGCAGAGCTGAGTTAGCTTATCAAAGTTGTGTGACTGCCTTGATTACAGGGATAAAGTGTGTGTGCCTCCGGTATAGGGATCCGGATCATGGTAAAGAAACAATGGTAGGAGAACTATAACAGTCCAATTCCCAGTTGGGCTGGTTCTGTTCCCCTCGGAACAAGAGACCACCCGAGTGGGGTCCCATGTGCCAGGCACTTAAACTGTGTTCTCCTCCGCAGCCTGCCTGGGTATGACCAGGTCTTGTAGAAATCACAGTGCCTCAGCAATAGATGTAAGCTTATGCACAGATCCACCTTGGGTAACATGCAGGGACTTTAGGGACCCCCATCGGTAAGGTCTGTCCGATATCTTTCAGTCGACCAATGAAGATCCCTGAATTCAGTGACTGAAGTGTCGCTCTGGTAAGGTAATTGTAGAATGTGAGATGAGCATTTTCGAATAAGAGTGGTGCTTTGTCTCGTGCAGCAGCCATTATATGACCCTTGTCTTGGAGGGAAGTGCAGTGGATGATGGTGTCACATTAGGAGGGGCAGTTGGGGACTTTGGTAATCGGTATGTCCCATTGAGTGTCATTTACCTGGCCAATTTTGGAGGTAATAATGTGGCCATAAGGCGCCTCAGGAGGTGTCAATTCCTCAAGGGGGACATTATCAGGGATTCCCCTGATGTGATGCCGACAGTAGCGGTCTTCTATAGCTGACACTTGGGACGTGAGGTCCAGTTAGGAGGTTAACACGCCTGAGGGAGTCCTGTATATTGGACAGACACCCCTGAGTTCCTTGATGTCCTCTTCGGAGGTGTGAACCCTGTCTGTGACCGCTTTAACATCTTCTTTAACTACCGCTTTATCCACTCCGAGCATTGACTTAATGTGCAGGAGGAATCTTTGGATGTCTTGCTTGGTAGCTAATTCCACTCCCTGTAGGAGTGTGCTTTCGGGAGGTAGTGCCTCCATTGGCTGTTGAGGTGGGTCTGATAGCTTTGCGGGGCTGCTCGTGCTGGAGGCTTCAGGGCCGTCCATGGCTGCCATTTTGGGCTGCGGTGCGCATTGTAGAAGAATCCAATATCCCTGGACTCTATCTTGGAGCTGGCTTGTTGCCTGTGATCGCCATACCATAGTCTGTGCGCTGTCTGGCCATGAAGATCGGGCCACTTCAGTCATTTTGCAGAGGTAGAGTACCGTCGCTCTGTTTAGGAGGGAGTACAACCCTGAGAGGGTTGGCGAGAAGTAGGCCGCAGACCTCAGCTTCAGTTTGTTCGCCTTTGGGGCTTGAAAGAAGGGCATCAGTCTGTGCAGTGGGTTGCCGCAAGACATATTTGGTGGGTCTACCGTCTGGATGGTTGGCCAAACGGATGATTATATCCAGATAGTCCATGTAACTTTTTAAAAGTCTTCTCTTTATGAATTTTTTTTTTTTTTTTAATGAATCTTGGTGAATATCTGTTTCTGTAATCTAAAGTTTGATCATAATGAAATAGTGTCTTCTGCCTTGTGTATACAATTCAACTAGTAGAGTAACCTCTACGTTGTGGTCCTTTGATCCTTTTTCTATAAATGTTCCATGCCATTTCTAATCACTTGACTTAGAAAACTGTCTTGACTTTTTTAAATTTTATTTTGTCATGTGCTTTTTTGAGTATGGCCAGTTTATTTCTTAAACTTAAATTCTGTTGCATTTCATGGATTTAGAACCCCTTCATGATGAAACCGCTTTTGTTTCTTGGAACATAGACATTTAATCTTTATGGGTGATATTTTGTGTTGATGTATCAGGTACATTTATCAGCAGAAATAAGCATTCTTCAGATTATTTTCCGTGTGTTTTGTGGCTGAAAAGTAAGTGTTTTTCAATCAAATGAGATTTTATAGTCTGCTTACGATGTAAGCTGGCATTTGTGTGCCACACTTTTTTTTTTTTTTAAATCTGCTCGACAAATGGCTATTGCCTACCTTTGTATAATGTTTACTTTCTCTAGCTGTGTAGTATCTCTCTATCTATAGTAGTACTGTTGGTAAAGATTTGATCAGTTGGGGTGTGCTACTGTTGACAGTGTATCGAATTACACTGCATGTTGATTTCAGTGAATAAATCGAAGTCTTGGCACTGAGGTAATTGCATTCACACTGTGCCATACTTGCCTGGTGTGTTTGACTGCGGTTTGATTTTATGCTGTCATTCTGGGTACATTTATTTATTTAGTGCCAAACCTCATTCATGTCTTATTGTGAGCAG